CATAACTGTAAAGCACTTAACGTGGTGCCTGGAACATATTAAGCACCCATAGATTTTTTTTTTTTAAAGATTTTATTCATTTGACACAGAGAGAGCATGTGCGCACAAGCAGGGGGAGTGGCAGGCAGAGGGAGAAGCAGGCTCCCCACAGAGCAGGGTGAGCCCAATGTGGGACTCGATCCCAGGACCCCAGGATCATGACCTGAGCCAAGGGCAGTTGCTTAACCAACTGAACCACCCAGGTGCCCCCCCATAAATGTTTTTGTTCATGTATTAATTCATGTTTTTCAATAAATATTTGATGGTCAGGCACTGTTCTAGGTATAACAATGAACAGAACAGCAAAACTTGATAAATTCATGAAATGTTTTAAGGGAGGGGAGAAAGTAGAGAATAAACAAATTTATGGGGTATCAGGGTGGCTCAGTTGGTTAAGCGTCTGACTTTGGCTCAGGTCATGATCTTAGGTCCTGGGATTGAGCCCTGAATCAGGCTCCCTGCTCACTCTCTCAAATAAATAAAATCTTTTAAAAAAATTGTAACATGCTATTTAGGGGTGCCTGGGGGGCTCAGTTGGTTAAGCGGCTGCCTTTGGCTCCGGTCATGATCCCAGGGCCCTGGGATCAAGCCCCATGTGGGATTCCCTGCTCATCGGGGAGCCTGCTTTTCCTGCTTCCCCTGCTTGTATACACACACACACACACACACACTCTCTCTCTCTCTCTCTCGATCTCTCAAAATCTTAAAAAAAAAAAAAAGTCATAACATGCCTCTTAAAAAAACAAAAAAACAAAACCCCCCACAAATTTATAAGTAAAATACATAGTGATGGTTATAAATAATAGGGGAAAAAAGCAGAGAAGGAAAATAGGGTTGGGAGGGAGGGGGCATTATTTTATTTTTACTTTTTTTAAAGTTTTTTTAAGATTTGTATTTTTATTTGACAGAGACAGCATAGAGGGAACACAGCAGGGGGAGTGGGAGAGGGAGAAGCAGGCTTCCCGCTGAGCAGGGAGCCTGATGCAGGGCTTGATCCCAGGACCTTGGGATCATGACCTGAGCCAAAGGCAGATGCTTAACAACTGAGCCACCCAGTTGCTCCTTTTTTAAAAAATTTAAATTTCAGTTAACATATAGTGTAATATTAGTTTCAGGTGTACAATATAGTGATTCAGCTCTTCCATACAACACTCGGTGCTCATCACAAGGGTCTTCCTTAATCCCCATCACCTATTTAACTCATCCTCCTGCCCACCTCCCCCCTAGTAACCCATCCATTTGTTCTCTATAGTTAAGAGTCTGTTTCTTGGTTTGGCTCTCTTTTTATCCCTTTGCTTGTTTCTTTTGTTTCTTAAATTCCACGTGAATGAAATCATATGTGTTTGTCTTTCTCTGACTTACTTTGCTTAGCATAATACTCTCTAGCTTTATCCATGTCATTGCAAATGGCAAGATTTCATTACTTTTTGTGGTTAATAGTCCATAGTGTGTGTGTATCACATCTTCTTTAGCCATTCATCAATCATTGGACACTTGGGCTGATGCCATAATTTGGCCAATATAGATAATGATGCTATAAACATTGGGGTGCGTGTATTGCTCTGATTTAGTATTTTTGTATTCTTTGGGTAAACACCTAACAGTGCAATTGCTGGGTCATAAGGTAGTTCTATTTTTAACTGTCTGAGGAACGTCTGTACGGTTTTCCACAGTGGCTGTACCAGTTTGCATTCCCATTTCCCAACAAAAGTGCAAGAGGGTTCCCCTTTCTCTACATCCTCACCACCACCTGTTACTTCTTGTGTTTTTGATTTTAGCCATCCTGACAGGTGTGAGGTGATATCATAGTTTTGATTTGTATTTCCCTGGTGGTCAGTGAAAGACATTCCATGCTCCTGGATTGGAAGGACAAATATTGTTAAAATGTCTATACTACCCAAAGCAATCTATACATTTAATGCAATCCCTATCAAAATACCAACAGCATTTTTCACAGAGCTGGAACAAACAATCCTAAAATGTGTATATGGAAGCACAAAAGACCCCGAATTTAGCCAAAGCAACCTTGAAAAAGAAAAGCAAAGTTGGAGGCATCACAATTCCGGACTTCAAGCTCTATTACAAAGCTGTCATCATCAAGACAGTATGGTACTGGCACAAAAATAGACACATAGATCAATGGAACAGAATAGAAAACCCAGAAATGAACCCACAACTATATGGTCAATTAATCTTCAACAAAGCAGGAAAGAATATCCAATGGGAAAAGGACAGTCTCTTCAACAAATGGTTGGGAAAACTGGACAGCAACATGCAAAAGGATGAGAGTGGACCAGTATACCATATACAAAAATAAATTCAAAATGGATTAAAGACCTCAATGTGAGACCTGAAACCATAAAACTCCTAGAAGAGAACACAGGCAGTAACTTTTTTGACATTAGCTGTAGCAACTTCTTTCTAGGCATGTCCCCGAGGCAAGGGAAACAAAAGCAAAAATAAGCTATTGGGACTATATCAAAATAAAAAGCTTCTGCACAGTAAAGGAAACAATAAAACTAAAAGGTAAACAACAGAATGGGAGAAGATATTTGCAAATGACACATCTGATAAAGCATTCCTATCTAAAATAAAGAACTTCTAAAACTCAATACCCAAAAAACAAACAATCCAGTTAAAAAGTGGGCAGAACAGACATTTCTCCAAGGAAGATATCCAGATGGCCAACAGACACATGGAAAGATGTTCAACATCACTGATCATCAGGGAAATGCAAATCAAAACCATGATGAGATATCACCTCACACCTGTCAGAATGACTACAATCAACAACACAAGGAGTACTATTTTATTTCATTGTATTTTTTTAAAGCACTTGTTAGCATTTAATGAACCCCCCCAATGCAGCTTTAAGCTACTAGAACGGAGGCTCCCCCGACACCCTTAATCTTCTCCTCTGCTCTTCTACTGAAAAATTTGGCCTTCACGATGACAGGCTGCTTTGGGAGTTTTCCCTTTCCCAAAACTTAGTAGTAGCCCGATCGCACCACGCAATGATAGGAGCAGCTCCAGTCTTGTTTTTGGCGGCATTTACCCGTGTCTGCTCACTGACCAAGGTCCACAGTTTATCAAGGTTGACAGTTGGGCAGAAGCTCTGGTTCCTCTTTAAGTGGTAATGTCTCATACCAACTTTTCCAAAGTAACCTGGGTGATATTTGTCGAAGTTGATCCTGTGGTGATGCATGCCACCAGCATTACCCCGGCCTCCTGGGTGCTTCCGATGCTTGCCGATGCGGCCGTGGCTCACATGGCCCCGAAGTTTCTGGGTCTTCCTCAGTCTGGATGACATGTCGGCAGCCCAGATGGAAAAAAGGAGTACTATTTTAAATAGGAGAACAGGGAGGGCCTGACTTGAAGTAGGGGAGCAAGGCACATAGATCTTTGGGAAGTGTGAGGTTGGGGAATATGCCAGGTGGAGGGAATACCAGATGGCTTACTATGAGGAAGAAGCATCTCTGTCTTGTGTTCAGGGATCATCTAGGAGACTAGTGTAGCTGGAGTGGAATAAGGGAAAAGTAATGAAGATGAGTAGGTGCCTCTGGCTGGCTCAGACAAAAGAGCATGTGACTCTTGCTTTTGGGGTCATGAGTTCGAGCCCTTGTTGGGTGTAGAGATTATTTAAATAAATTAAAATTTAAAAAAATGTGATATGTATTTTAAAAAAATGAAAACAAGTAATGTGGGTGGCAGGGAAGACCATATAGGACATTGTAAGAACTTGGCTTTTAAAAACTTGACTGAGATGAGAAGCCATCCAAGTGTATTAAACAGTGATGTATTATGATCCTTGGCTTAAAAGGATCATTCGGGCTGCTGGTGGAGGATAGGAAAAGGTGGAAGTGGAGAAAGTGGTTAGGAGGCTACTGAAGTAAACAAGCTGAGGGATGATGGTGCCTTGGACAAGGGTGGAAGCTCCAGAGGTAGAAAAAAGTAGCTGGATTCTGAACATTATTATTAGTTATATTATATATAATTTCTTAGCTTTATATTTCACCATATGGTTTAATAATTAAAAGATTTAACTTTTAAAATAATGCCAAACCATTTTTATATTTTTTAATGTATTTTTCTCTTTTTTAAGATTTATTAGAGAGCAAGCTTGGGGGACAGGAACAGAGGGAGAGGGAGAGAGAATCTCAAGCAGACTCCCCGCAGAGCACGGAGCCTGACACAGGGCTAGATCGCAGGAACCTGAGACCATGAGCTGAAACCAATAGTTGGATGCTTAACTGACTGAGCCACCCAGGTGCCCCATTTTTCTCTTTTTTAAAGTGTTGTGATTTCTGATCTCTGACATCTGGGTGTAAAGCAGCATAATCTGTGGAGTTAGTTACTTGATAAAGACCTAGTCATGAGTTACTTTTATGAACATTACCGTATAAATCTGGACTATACTATAATTTACTTTCAAAAGTAACTTTGGAAAGGAAGCTATCTTAAGGTTTTTAGTTTCTGGGGCACCTGGGTGGCTCAGTTGTTAAGCATCTGCCTTCAGCTCAGGTCATGATCCCAGAGTCCTGGGATTGAGCCCCTCATCGGGCTTCCTGCCCAGTGGGAAGCCTACTTCTCCCTTTCACACCCCCGTTTGTGTTCCCTCTCTCACTGTCTCTCTGTCAAATAAATAAATAAAATCTTATATATATAAAAAAAAGGTTCTTAGTTTCTATGGTGGGCTCTGAAGGGGAGAGGAAATTATTTTTTAAAAGATTTTATTTTTAACTAATCTCTACACCCAAAGGGGTGGGGCTCGAACTCACAACCCCAAGGTCAAGAGTCGCATGCTCTACTGACTGAGCCAGCCAGGTACCCCAAGGGGAGAAGAAATTAAAGAGAATTAAAATCATGCCATACATGTTTCATTTTATTTTATATGCTAAAGTTGTTGGTATTTTAGAATAATTAAACTATATTGGTTTTATTAGTGTAATGCTTAAGTGCTTGAGTATAGAGAATGCTATAAAATAGGGAAGTGTTGCTCACTGTTTAGGAGCTCTAGACTCAGATTGCTTGAATTTCCAATTCTAGCCCTGTCTACTTACAGTTTGTGACCCTGGACAGTTTCCTAATCTATATAGCAGGAAGAAGAATATTAACCCCATTGTAAGGCTATTGAGAGAATTATATATTAGTACATGTAAGACCCTTAGTGCAGGTATCTATTGTTTTATTATTTTCATTATTAACCTGGGATGTTTTGTGATATATCTCCTCTCTTCCATTCAGAGGAAGCACCAGCCTAACATTTCAGTTAGGTTGAAAAGTAATTTAAATCTTTATTCCAGCCTCTCAAAAATGCCAAAGGGGATAGCATTCATACCATACTGTAATACTACTTAAAATCTGATTTCTCCATTTTTGATCAATGTCTTTGCATGGTTAATCCCAGACTTCCTTTTCTTTTTTAAAACTTGCCAAACTCATAATTTGAATGGTCTCGTTCTTTTTGTCTTTTCCTCCCTTTCTCAAATTTATTCTTCCCTTTTCCAGGAGTATCCATCTCCCTTTAACTCTCTCCTTTGCCTGTTTGCGCGCTTTAGTTCAGACATTAGTTCAGGACTTGGCTTAATGGCCTGGCCATTAAGATTATTGCATTCACCTGACCTCAGTGATTAGGGCAGCCATCTTTGTAAACAGTCAGTGCACATTACTATACATTACTATTTACTGTCCTGGCTATTGATAAAAGATGGCATAATTCTGGTCTTTAAGAAGCTCAGACTAGGCTTTCCTTTCCGATCTGCCATCTGCGGTGGAACCGCCTCCAAGATGCAGATTTTCGTGAAAACCCTTATGGGGAAGACCATCACTCTTGAGGTTGAACCCTCGGATACAATAGAAAATGTAAAGGCCAAGATTCAGGATAAGGAAGGAATTCCTCCTGATGAGCAGGGACTGATCTCAGCAAAGGCACGCACTTTGACTACAACATTCAAAAGTAGTCCACTCTTCATCTTGTGTTGAGACTTCGTGGTGGTGCTAAGAAAAGGAAGAAGTCTTATACCACTCCCAGGAAGAATAAGCATAAGAGAAAGAAGGTTAAACTGGCCATCCTGAAATACTATAAGGTGGATGAGAATGGCAAAATCAGTCGCCTTCATCAGGCGTGCCCTTCAGATGAGCATGGTGCTGGAATTTTCATGGCTAGCCACTTCGACAGACATTATTGTGGCAAATGTTGTCTGACTTATTGCTTCAACAAACCAGAAGACAAGTAATTGTATATGGGTTAATAATAAAAGACATGAACTAACATTTTAAAAAAAAGCTCAGACTAATTGAGGAATACCAACGTGTAAACAAATGCGTGTAGTATTTCTCTTTATAACTCCCTCCCTTTCTCCTGGCTTCCATCTAATACACATTTCCATTATATACTGTATTACTTCCTTTGTAATCCTTAACCACATTTATTATCAGTTGTTTAATGTCTTTAGTCCTCATTAGATTATAAATTCCATCAGGATAAGGACTATAATTAACTGTTGGATCTCTAGTACCTAGCACTCTGGCACATAGAGGTGCTCCGTAAATGTGGGTTGAATGAATGTTTTAACTGTAGTAATAGAAAAATATAGAAAGTGAAGAGGGAATGATTGGTTTACTGATGGGGTAGTGGAGACGTAAGCCTGGATAAATGCACAGGATTGTTGAAACACCTTGGTGTATTTTGGGAACTGTAAGTAATTCACTTTTGTTGAAACATGATGTATGAGGTGGGAAGTGGTGGTAGATGAATCTGGAGAGAGGGTGAAGGCCAAATCATGAAGAGCCCTGAATGCTACACCTACAGGTTGGGGAGCCATTGACTGGTTTTAAGTAGGGAAAAGAATATATTAGCTGCAAAAGTGATATATGGATTGGAGGAGAATGAGATTAAAGAAGAGAAACTGGTTAGGAGGCTATTTCAGTACAGATGAAAGATACTATGAAAGCCTAAGGTGAAAAAGAAAAATATGGAAGAAGCGAGGAGATGGAGACCTGGTGTGCAGAATTCATGTGGACTCATGGAGATTTCCACTGTAAATTTAATTTTGTTTTAGCAGTAGAGACATTGTATTAGCCACTTTTTTTTTTTTAATTTTATTTATTTGACAGAGAAAGACACAGTGAGAGAGGAAACACAAGCAGGGGGAGTGGGAGAGGGAGAAGCAGGCTCCCCGCTGAGCAAGGAGCCCAATGTGGGGTTCGATCCCAGGGCCCCGGGACCATGACCCAAGCCAAAGGCAGACGCTTAATGACTGAGCCACCCAGGAGCCCCCCCCCTTTTTTTTAGAGTTAAAAGATTTTTAAAGTAATCTCTACCACCCAGCTTGGGGGTTGAACTCACAACCCGAGATTAAAAGTCCCATACTCCACCACTGAGTTAGGCAGGTGCCCCTGTATTAGCCAGTCTTTTTTTTTATATAATTTTTTAGAAGATTTTATTTATTTGACAGAGACAGAGATAGCAAGAGCAGGAACACAAGCAGGGGGAATGGGAGAGGGAGAAGCAGGCTTCCCGCTGAGCGGGGAGCCCGATGCAGGGCTCGATCCCAGAATCCCGGGATCATGACCTGAGCCGAAGGCAGACGCTTAACGACTGAGCCACCCAGGTGCCCCTTTTTTTTCTTTTTAATATTTTATTTATTTGACAGAGGCAGAGAGAGAGAGAGAGCACAAGCAGAGGGTGTGGCAGGCAGAGGAAGAAGCAGACTCCCTGCAAAGCAGGGAGCCTGATAAGGGGCTTGATCCCAGGACCCTGAGATCATGACCTGAGCTGAAGGCAGACGCTTAACCAACTGAGCCACCCAGGCGCCCCTCTATTAGCCAATCTTAACTACTGATCCCTAGTTCTGCATCCACACCCACTTAATATTTGTAACTGGACATTGTATTTTTATTTAATTTTCTAATCATTAAAAAAGAGAACCCCCCAAAAGCCTAAGATAAGATAGTAGTAGTGAGAATAAATAGAATTGTTTAAAAAGTAGAATTGATGAAACTTAGAGACTATCCTGAGAAAAATGAAAGAATCTAGAATGACTTTTAGTTTTCTGGCTTGGGAGATGATGGTACTATAAACCAAGAGACACAGTTTAAGAAGGAAGGACAGGTTTGGATCATATGGCTTCTTAAATCAAAATGAGGCAGACGTGAATTGGAAAAGATTTTCTCCTTTTGGAGGAGTTCTTTTTCTCTTAGGCTTTATTGGGGGAGGAAAAGGCAACAGTTTTTACTGCTTCTAGGTTTGAAACCTAGAGCAGATAGTAGTAAATCAGATACAATTAAGTTCCTAAAGGTGTGGGAGAGATTGCAGTGGGTCCTTGACTACTCCCAGGCTATTAGTTGCTGAGGTCGATTTAAATTTCCAGAAGTGGGGCACCTGGCTGGCTCAGTTGGTAGAGCATGGGACTCTTGATCTTGGAGTCATGAGTTCGAGCCCCACATTAGGGATAAAGTTGACTAAAAAAAAAAATTTCCAGATGTTTAATTTGCTTCATCTTATTTAAGCAGCTTTTTTAAAGCAAGTGGGCATAAACTTTATTTTGTATGTTCTTTTTAAAAGTTTTTATTTAAGGGGCGCCTGGTGGCTCAGATGGTTAAGCGTCTGCCTTCGGCTCAGGTCATGATCCCAGGGTCCTGGGATCGAGTCCCGCATCGGGCTCCCTGCTAGGCGGGGAGTCTGCTTCTCCCTCTGCCTCTCTCTCTTTGACTCTAATGAATAAATAAATAAAACATTAAAAAAAAAAGTTTTTATTTAAATTGCAGTTAGTTCACAGACAGTGTAATATTCATTTTAGGTATGTAGTATAGTGGTTCCGTACTTTCATACATCACCTAGTGCTTATCACAGTGGTGCATTTCTTAATCCCCATCACCTGTTTAACTAATCCCCCTGCCCAACTCCGTTCTGGTAACCATCAGTTTGTTCTCTGTAGTTAAGAGTCTGTTTCTTGGTTTGCCTCTTTCTCTCTCTTTTTTCCCCCCTTTGCTCATTTGTTTTGTTTCTTAAATTCCACATATGAGTGAAATCATATGGTATTTGTCTTTGACTTACGTAGCATAATACTCTCTAGCTCCATCCATGTTGTAAATGGCAAGATTTCATTCTTTTTTATGGCTGAATAATATTTCATTGTATATATATAGTGCATCTTCTTCATCCATTCATCAATCGGTGGACACTTGGGTGGATTCCATAATTTGGTTATTATAGATAATTCTGCTGTAATCATCGAGAAGCATGTATCCCTTTGAATTAGTATTTTTGTATTATTTGGGTAAATACCTAACAGTGCAATTGTTGGATTGTAGGGTAGTTCTATTTTTAACTTTTTGAGGGACCCCTATATTGTTTTTCACAATGGTTGCACCAGGTTGCATTCCCACCAACAGCACAAAAGGGTTCCCTTTTCTCCACTTTCACACCAACATCTGTTGTTTCTTTTGTTGTTGATTGTAGCCATTCTGACAGGTGTGAGGTGATACCTCATCATGGTTTTGATTTGCATTTCCCTGATGATCAGTGATGTTGAACATCTTTCCATGTGTCTGTTGGCCATCTGGATATCTTCCTTGGAGAAATGTCTGTTCTGCCCACTTTTTAACTGGATTGTTTGTTTTTTGGGTATTGAGTTTTAGAAGTTCTTTATATATTTTAGATAGGAATGCTTTATCAGATGTGTCATTTGCAAATATCTTCTCCCATTCTGTTGTTTACCTTTTAGTTTTATTGTTTCCTTTACTGTGCAGAAGCTTTTTATTTTGATATAGTCCCAATAGCTTATTTTTGCTTTTGTTTCCCTTGCCTCGGGGACATGCCTAGAAAGAAGTTGCTACAGCTAATGTCAAAAAAGTTACTGCCTGTGTTCTCTTCTAGGAGTTTTATGGTTTCAGGTCTCACATTGAGGTCTTTAATCCATTTTGAATTTATTTTTGTATATGGTATACTGGTCCACTCTCATCCTTTTGCATGTTGCTGTCCAGTTTTCCCAACCATTTGTTGAAGAGACTGTCCTTTTCCCATTGGATATTCTTTCCTGCTTTGTTGAAGATTAATTGACCATATAGTTGTGGGTTCATTTCTGGGTTTTCTATTCTGTTCCATTGATCTATGTGTCTATTTTTGTGCCAGTACCATACTGTCTTGATGATGACAGCTTTGTAATAGAGCTTGAAGTCCGGAATTGTGATGCCTCCAACTTTGCCTTTCTTTTTCAAGATTGCTTTGGCTAAATTCGGGGTCTTTTGTGCTTCCATATACACATTTTAGGATTGTTTGTTCCAGCTCTGTGAAAAATGCTGTTGGTATTTTGATAGGGATTGCATTAAATGTATAGATTGCTTTGGGTAGTATAGACATTTTAACAATATTTGTCCTTCCAATCCAGGAGCATGGAATGTCGTTCCATTTTCTTGTGTCATCTTCATTTCTTTCATGAGTGTCATATAGTTTTCCGAGTATAGATCTTTCACCTCTTTGGTTAGGTTTATTCCTAGGTATTTTATTGTTTTTGGTGCAATTGTAATGGGATTGATTCCTTAGTTTCTCTTTCTTCTACTTCATTATTGGTGTATAGAAATGCAGCAGATTTCTGTAAGTTGATTTGTATCCTGCAACTTTATGGAATTCATTTATCAGTGGTAGCAGTTTTTTGGTGGTCTTTCAGGTTTTTTATATAGAGTATCATGTCAACTGCACTAGTGAAAGTTTTACTTCTTCCTTGCCGATTTGGATGCCTTTTATTTCTTTTTGCTGTATGATTGCTGTGGCTAGGACTTCCAGTACTTTACTGAATAAAGTGGTGAGAATGGACATCTCAGTCTTGTGTCTGACTGTAGAGGAAAAGCTCTCAGTTTTTCCCCATTGAGGATGATACTCGCTGTGGGTTTTTCATATATGGCTTTTATTATGTTGAGGTTATGTTCCCTCAAAACCTACCTTGTTGAAGGGTTTATCATGAATGGATGTTGTACTTTGTTAGGTGCTTTTTCTGCATCTATTGAAATGATCATATGGTTATTATCCTTTCTTTTATTAATGTGGTGTATGTATCACATTGATTTGTGAATATTGAACCACGCTTGCAACCCAGGAATAAATTCCACTTGATCATGGTGAATGATTTTTTAATGTATTGTTGGATTTGGTTTGCTAATATTTTATTGAGGATTTTTGCATCTATGTTCATCAGGGATATTGGCCTGTAGTTGTCTTGTTTAGTGGTGTCTTTACCTGGTTTTGGGTAATGCTGGCCTTAGAGAATGAATTTGGAAGTTTTCCTTCCTTTTCTGTTTTTTTGGAATAGTTTGAGAAGAATAGGTATTAACTCCTTTAAACGTTTGGTGAATTCACCTGCAAAGACATCTGGTCCTGGACTTTTGTTTGTTGGGTGTTTTTTGATTACTGATTCAATTTCTTTATGGGTTATTGGTCTGTTCATGTTTTCTGTTTTTTCCTGTTTCAGTTTTGGTAATTTATATGTTTCTAGGAATTTATCCATTTCTTCTAGGTTGTCCAATTTGTTGGCATATAGTTTTTTTCATAATGTTCTTATAATAGGGGGCACCTGGGTTGTTCAGTTAGTGAAGCATCTGCCTTCAGCTCAGGTCATGATCCCAGGGTCCTGGGATCGAGCCCTGCACTGGGCTCCCTGCTCAGCGGGGAGCCTGCTTCTCCCTCTGCCCCTCACCCCACTCGTGCACACGCTCTCTTTCTCTCTCTCAAATACATAAAATCTTTAAAATAATAATACTATTCTCTTTTAATTGTTTCTATTTCTGTGGTGTTGGTTATTTCTCCTGTCTTATTTGTGAATTTATTTGGGCCCTTCCTATTTTCTTTTTTGATAAATCTGATCATCAATTTTGTTAATTTTTTCAAAGAACCAGCTCCTGGTTTCATGGATTTGTTTTTTTTAGTTTCTATATCATTTATTTCTGCTCTAATCTTTATTATTTCCTTCCTTCTGCTGGCTTTAGGCATTGTTTATTGTTCTTTTAGGTGTAAGGTTAAGTTGTTTATTTGAGATTTTTCTTCTTGAGGTAGGCCTGTATTGCTGTATACTTCCCTCTTAGGACCACTTTTGCTGCATTGCAAGTGGGCATAAATTATAAGAAAACTGTTAATGCCCTACAACCCAGCAATTGCACTACTTGGGTATTTACCTTAATGATACAAATGTAGTTATCCTAAGGGGCACTAGTACCCCAGTGTTTATAGCAGCAATGTCCGCAATAGCCAAACTATGGAAAGAGCCCAGATGTCATATACACACACAAACACACGCACAATGGAATATTATGCAGCTATCAAAAAATGAAATCTTGCCATTTGCAATGCCATGGATGGAAGTAGAGGGTGTTATGCTAAGCGAAATAAGTCAGAGAAAGGCAGTTATCATATGATCTCACTGATATGTGGAATTTGTGAAATAAGGCAGAGGATCATAGGGGAAGAGGAAAAAATGAAACAAGATGAAACCAGAGAGAGATCAATCATAAGAGACTCTTTTTTTTTTTTAAGATTTTATTTATTTATTTGACACAGAGAGAGAGAGCACAAGTGGGCAGAGCAGCAGGCAGAGGGAAAGGGAGAAGCAGGCTTCCCGCTGAGCAGGGAGCCCGATGTGGAGCTCGATCCCTGGACCCTGGGATTATGACCTGAGCTGAAGGTGGAGGCTTAACGACTGAACCACCCAGGCACCCCAAGAGACTCTTAATCTTAGGAAACAAACTGAGGGTTGATGGAGGGGAGGGGGTGGGGAGATGGGGTGGTTGATGGACATTGGGGAGGGTATGTGTTGTGGTGAGCACTGTGTGTTGTGTAAGACTGATGAATCACAGACCTGTACCCCTGAAAGAAATAATACATTATATGTAAATAATTAAAAAATTTAAAAATATTAATAATTAAAAAAATTAAAAAAAAGAAAACTGTTAAGATTCATGAGTTAGGTTCAGTATTGGTAAAAATGTGAATTGCTATAGCCATTTTGGAAAGTTTGGCAATTAGTCAGATTTCTCTTCTGGAAATCTATTCTGTAGAAATGAAAGTATGTTGTTTTTAATGGCAAAAACTGGAAATAGCCTGAATGTCTATCATTAGTGGGCATGAATATAGATTGTAATATACTTCTATTGTGGAATATTATGCAACCCAAAGAGAATGAGTTAAATCTATGTATCTTGACCTAGAAGGATATCTGAGAGGTTATAGATTAAAACAAGCAAGTTATAAAGAAATGTGTATAATATTTTTGTAAAATAAAGATATAAATACGTACTTTTTTTTTTTTTTTTTTAGCATTATATGCACATAGAGAAAGGTGTAAAGGTGTATTTTATTCCAAGTACTCTTCTAATGGCTGGGAATATAGTCCCTGTTTTATGCAGGAGGAGGTATGACAATAAATTAAGAAGTAAATATATAGTATGTTAGGCGAAGATAAATGGTATGGAGAAAAACCCCAACTGGCTAAAGGGGATGGAGGGCAGAGAGGAATTAACTGTTTTATTCTGGATAGAGGCCTCACTGATATGGTGGTTTAACCTTCTTATTGTGAAATAAAATACATGCTAATAAGTGTATAAAACATACATGTAGTTTATATAGTATATAAACATAAATGTAGTTTATTGACATTTGTGAACAACTATGTAACTACCACACAGATAAAGATGTCGAAGATGTCCAGCTTCCCAGAAGCCAAAAGCATGCCCTTTTGGCATATATCCCTCTTCTTCCCACCAGAGTAAACCATTGACTTAATTTTTATGGTAATTATCTTCTTGTTTTTCTTTATAATTGCATTCCTAAATAATATATTTTAGTTTTGCTTGTTTTTGAATTTGCTATATATGGAATTACACTGTATGTATGCTTTTGTGTATTTTGCTCACTATTATGCTTAGTCATCTATATTGTTTTTTTTTTAAAGATTTTATTTATTTATTTGACAGAGAGAGACACAGCGAGAGAGGGAACACAAGCAGGGGGAGTGGGAGAGGGAGAAGCAGGCTTCCCGCCGAGCGGGGAGCCCGATGCGGGGCTCGATCCCAGGACCCTGGGATCATGACCTGAGCTGAAGGCAGACGCTTAACGACTGAGCCACCCAGGCGCCCCCATCTATACTGTTTTTATGTAGCCATAGTTTCTTTTTTTTTTATTATATGGTATTTCGTTGTAGAATAGTTTATTTCTACTTTTATTTATTTATTTTTTTTAAGATTTTATTTATTTATTTGACAGAGACACAATGAGAGAGGGAACACAAGCAGGGGGAGTGGGAGAGGGAGAAGCAGGCTTCCCGCGGAGCAGGGAGCCCGATGTGGGGCTCGATCCCAGGACCCTGGGATCATGACCTGAGCCGAAGGCAGATGCTTAACGACTGACCCACCCAGGCGCCCCTATTTCTACTTTTAATACATTTGGATAGTTTCTATCTTGGCTATTATGGACAATGCTGTTATGAAGATTTTGCACATATGTCATATGTGAATGCATTTCTCTAAGGTATATCTAGGATTGAGAATTCTGGTTTATAAAATATGTGTATCTCAGCCCTTCTAGAGAATGCCAATTTATTTCTATCTGTAATGGTATCTGAGCATTAACTACATCTACTAGCCCTAGGTGTTGTCAGACATTTACGTTTTTGCAAATCATCTAAATGTGTAGTGGTATCTCATTATGGTTTAAATTCATTTGCATTTTCCTTATTCCTAATGTGGATCATCTTCTCACATGTTGACCATTTGGTTATTCTCTTGTATGAGACACCTTTTCATGTCTTTTGCCCATTTTTCTATTGCATTGTCTTTTTTTCTTATTGGTTTGTTGGAGTTAAAGATTCTGGATATTCTTGTCTTTTACATGTATTGCAAATATCTTAAGATGACATTTTGAGCAGAGACCTGGAGGAAGTTGAAGGAGTGAGTTGTGGGGAAAGCTGAATGAAGGGTATTAGAGGAAGAGTGAGCAGCAATTACAAAGAACTTGATGCAGGAATATTTTTGAAATGTTGCGGGAGCAGCAAAAGATGCTTACCTGAGGTTAAAAAGGAGAACGGGTTAAGAGGATCTCAGAAAAAAATGAAGCAAAATGGGAAAGAACTCATGGAGTAAGCATTACTAGTAAAAATATAGATTACAAAATCCATTCCTTGATATTACCACAAGTACATAAAAATAGAATATGGTGAAGGAAAAGACCTAGAATATGATCCAATGAAAACATTGATTTGATAACAGGATTGTGGACAGTTTTTGTCCTAGATTTATTATTATACAGCAAAAACAATGTCAAAAGTACATATAAAAAGTTAAAAGTAAATCTTTTACTTTTACTTTTACTACAGAATTCTCAATCCTAGTAATCCAAGTAAATACTAAATTTAATACAAAAAATTAATCGCCTCTTACTCTCAGGCATTGATAAGTAGAAACTCTTATTAGTTTCCTATTGTTGCCTTAATGAATTACCATAAATTTAGTGGCTTAAAACAACTCAAATTTATCATCTTGCAGTTCTGGAGGTCAAATGTCCTAAAATCAAGATGTCAGCAGGCTGTATTCCTTTTGGAGGCCCTAGAGAAGAATCCACTTTGTTCTAGGAGCTGCCTGCATTCCTTGGCTCCTGGCCCCTTACTCCATTTCAAAGCCAGTAATGTTGCATCTTTAAATCTCTCTGTCTTCTACTTCCGTTGTCATATCTGTTTCTCTGACTCTGATATTCTTGCCTCCCTCTTATAACGACTTTTTTGATTTCTCTGGCCCACATGGATAATCCAAAATAATCTTTCTGTGTCAATGTTCTTAACTTAATCTCCTCTGCAAAGTCCCTTTTGCTATGTAATATAATATATTCACAGGTTCCAGGGATTGGGATGTAGACATCTTTGTAGGGCTATTATTCTATCTACCTTACAGACTCTAAATTTGAGAATAAAATTTTCACTAACCCTGTTTCTTAGGGTTTGATGAACGAGGAATTGGAAGTACGGATAAAAGAGAGAGGACCCTTACTAGCAGAGAATGAATTTGGTGAATGTCTTATCTTGAATTTTCTACAACATCTGCTGTAGAAAGCTAGCTTAGAGTTAGCCTTACACATGATGTAAGGGTGCCTGAAAGACAACTGGAAACTTTCAGATCATATGTTCATTTCATGTAGTTGCTGCCTTGAGAGATAATTACACTTTGTTAGAAGACTGGTTTGAATTTAGTCTGCTTAACAATGATGTGGCATTGAACGGTTCTCATCTATAAAATGGGAGTAGTAATACTTAATTCACAAAGATTTTTATAAGAATTATAAAATTATTACATATACATACATATACATATAATGAAGTAATACTTAGCTTGTATCTGGCATGTAGCAGGTACTCACTTTTCTGGAAGGTCTGTGTTTTTGTGATAACAGTGAGAAAATGTTAGAGAGGTTAAGGCGAGTGGTTTATGCTAGAAGTTTTGCTGGAGGCTGCTATACATCTTACTTGCTAGAAGCTACCTGACTCTATTGTGTATTTGGCTCTAAGATCCGTATGGGTAAAATTTTGGGCAAAAAGAAGCAATGAGTTAATATTTGTAGCAAGTGTGGCTGATTATCATTTTTTTTTTCTGTTAGCCTATTTTACCTTTTTCTATGGGAAATTTCAAATTTTTTTTTCTCTCTCCAGGCTGATCATTTTTTTCCCCCTGCCTTCAGTAAAATTCCATGCTGTACTTACAGCATTATTATTCTTGGATCTTCACTTCTCTCTGGTAAGCCTAAATGCTGATCATCTCATGTATTAATTCAACAAATATTATTGAGTGTCTTCTCTCTGTGAGACACTCAACACTGGTGATATAAAAGATAAATAAGAAAATGTGTATCCTCAAGGAGCTCACAGTTTAGCACAAAGACAAGTCAATAGCTAAACTATAATGAATAAGCTTTATATTAGAAGGTTGAGAAAAGCTCTGTGGAATCAAAGAAGTAGTGGTGTTTAGACTAAAGATGTGAGGGAAGGTTTCACAGAAAAAATTGTGTATGACCTAGCCCCCCGCCCCCCCGCAAAAGTAGCTGGTTATAAAGGAGTATGGTGAGAGAAAGGGGTGGAGGGGAGAGAGGAAGGAATGGGTATTCTGTGAAGTACAGGGAACATAAGTACAGGCATGAGAAAGTGTTGTGTGTTTGGATGAGCTGTGGGTCTTTTTGATGTGGCTAGGGTAAAAGGTGCCTGTGGGAAAGTAATAGGAGAATGAGCTTAGAAGAGTAAGCAGAGGGGCACCTGGGTGGTACAGTCGGTTAAGCGTCCAACTCTTGGTTTCAGCTCAGGTCATGATCTCTGGGTTGTGGGCTCCATGCTGCTTGAGTTTCTCTCTCCCTCTGCCCCTTCCCCTTGCTCTCGCGCTCACATTCTCCCCCTCTCTCAAATAAATAAATCTTAAAAAAAAAAAAAAAAAGAGGCCAGACCATGAAGGGCCTTATATGCCATGCTGAATGAAGAGTTTGAATTTGGACTTTATCCTATAGGTAGTTGCGAACTCTTGAAATATTGTATGCTAAACCAACATGACTAGATTCAAGACTCAAAAGCAGCAGGAAAGGTAGGAAATGAACAAGGAAACTGGTCTCTGGGGAAATCCAGGGAGACCCTTTCAAGAAGGAAAAAATGGCTAACAGTGTAAAGTTTAAAGTGATTGTGAAATATAGAAAAGTTTCTGCTGGACTCTGTTGCTGAGAAGACCTTAACAAGATTATATTTTGTGAATGGGGTAGAAATCAAATTAGATTCAAGAGTTGAGTGGGAGGTAAGAAAATAGAGACTACAATTATAGACCACTCAGAAAACTTGCTGTGAAGCAGAAGTGAGAGGTAGCTAGATAGAGATGTAGATCTGAGAAACAATTTTTTTCAAAGATAGAAGAGTTGTATGTATATTATGTTTTGGCGGAGATGATAAGGTAGAGATAAAGTTGAGTTATATGGGGTGTGATTTGATGGAACAGGAAGGATGGGTTTGGTGGTGAGAAGAGATTATAACCACAGGGAAGGAGGAGAGATACTTTTGTCTAAGACTTGGAAGGAAGAAGATGGGTTCAAAGAAGAATGTAGATTGGAAAATTGGGTGAAATCAGGTTTCTTCTTTCTGGCAGATGGCAGTTGTGAGAGAAGAGGTGTGTAGGGTTAGGCTTTAGATATGGCATAGCCGCTGATCACTGTGGGATGGAGTAGGTCACTGATCAGAGGCATGTAGATAAATTACTAATAGGATAGTTGATCTCAAAAGTAGAGACTCGTAAATTTGTAGTGGCACAAATTGCCAGCTTGTGATTTTCTTCAGAATTCAGCAGATGGTTGGATTGATTCCCCATGGCTGAGAGATTTACTGGGCTGGTGTGGTAAAAGAACAAGAAGCTGGGTGGAGATACTGACAAGAGAGTAGTTGATGCACAACTTTGAGGGAATAGTTAAGTAAATTATGACACATTCGTATAAACTATTTTCTAGCTATTGATATTTATGTTTATAGTTTATAAAGTGCTTATTTTATAATGGTAAGGTAATAAAAGTGTTGTATGTTTTTTTTTTTTTTTTTAAGATTTTATTTATTTATCAGAGAGAGAGAGAGACAGAGTCAGGCAGAGGGAGAAGCAGGCTCCCTGCTGAGCAAGGAGCCCGATGTGGGACTTGATCCCAGGACCCTGGGGTCATGACCTGAGCCGAAGGCAGAGGCTTAACCGACTGAGCCACCCAGGCATCCCAAAAGTGTTGTATATTGTACAAAGGGTTAGTAATGGTCAACTGTAATAGTTAAGGGATTGTGTTAGGCATAATGATGAAAAAATGCTCTGAAAACCAAAGAGTATTGGTCATCCCTATTAGCGCATAGACAGTCATTTGTCAGGGATCATTATTTCTAGTTTAGAGATGAAGAAAATGAGAGTTAGCAAAAGTGACTTGTTCAGAGTCATAAATTTGATAAATGGCAGAGAGAGAGGTAACTTTTATAGTACTTATTGAAAAGTTACTGTCTCAGGTATTGTTTTATGTGCAGTCTTACTTAATATTTTCCTCTTTTATTGCTCTAATTTTTATTTCCCAGTTAAGAAAACAGATTCTGAGGTGACTAATAATATGAGCAATAGATAACTATCAAAAGAGTGATACCAACAAGTGCTTTAGAAGTTCAGCCGAAGGAGATGTTGTGGACTAGGGTAGAAGAGAGACTTTGGAGATGATTATATTTGAACTTGGACTGAAGGATATGTAGGCTAGTCTTATTTTTTGGTCTCTTTGACTTGTTTTTTTCACGTTAAAAAAAAGATTCTTTATAATAGGCTGTATCATGTTTCTGGAGCCTTTTGCTCTGATAAGAAAAAAAAATACTCCGATAAGAAAAAAAAATACTATTCTTGCTTTTTTTTTCTTGCTTATTTTTTTTTCTTTTCTTTTCTTTTTTTTTTTAAAGATTTTTATTTATTTATTTGACAGAGAGAGACACAGCAAGAGAGGGAACACAAGCAGGGGGAGTGGGAGAGGGAGAAGCAGTCTTCCCGCAGAGCAGGGAGCCCCATGCGGGGCTCGATCCCAGGACCCTGGGATCATGACCTGAGCCGAAGGCAGACGCTTTAACGACTGAGCCACCCAGGTACCCCTCTTGCTTACTTTTAATGAAAGACCAAGCCTATCTGTAGATATCATAAAGGGACCCAACATAATTTCTGGATCTCTAGTGCATCACTTTTGAGACTGCTTTGGAGGGAATGGAAGAAATAATGTCTTCCAACTAACTTTGCAAGTTGAATCATGAACTCATTGGTAGGCCTTCTAGAATAGGTTTCAAATATAATTATAAATCTGTCTATCTAGTTCTTTTCCCCCTTAAACAATCATTTATATTTGAGTGCTTATTATGGTTAATGGAAGAAAACACTTCATTTGAAACAGTAGTTAAAAGGCGACTGAAACCAGGGATTTAGCTCTTCCATGCTGAGCTGAAAGGGGAAAAATAAGGACTTTTTCTAGGGTTGTTAAATTTCCATTTACCTTTTTCTCCAGTCTTGGCACTTTCATTCTGTGGTTTTAGTGGAAGAAGCATTTGAATATAAAACATTTTACATATGAGGAATCTTCAAGAATTATCAGAAAGGACTTAATAAGAATGATCTCACTTTACTCATAAAGTAGGGATTGCCATGTATAAATATATTATTTATCAGTTTTTATATTTGGAGACGTCTATAATTGGCATCTGTATATTTCTACAAGAAGTAGTCACCATTATAATTTGTCTAATTTTAGGATCAAGTCCATATATAATGGCTTATGGCTTTAAATGAATACTTGATACTTTCTAATAGGGCCCATCTGGTAACTACAAAGAAGTAAAGATAATATAGACATTTTAATGAGCTATGAAAAGGTAGCTTCAGTAGCAAAAGCACATTCTAAAAACAACTAAGAATAACTTACCAAAACTGACTTGAGAAGAAATTAAAAATCTTTATACTCTTTTAGCCATAAAAAAAACTGAATTAGTAATTTAAAAAAATCTATCTACCCAAACAATATCAGGCCCATATAATTAATTACAGTTTTAAAACCACCATAAAATTCACCAGCATAAACATTTTTGAGTGTGCAGTTCAGTAGCATTAAGCATATACACATTGTTGTGGAACATATATGTAGAGCTTTTTCATCTTGCAAATTTGAAATGCTATCCCCATTAAATAACCACTCCCTTTTCCGCCTTTCCTCAGGCCCCAATAACTACCATTCTATTTTCTGTTTCTATGTATTTTACTACTTTGGTTACCTCATATAAAGTGGAATCATAAGTGATTGCCTTTTTGTGACTGGTTTATTTTACTTAATATAATGTCCTCAGGGCTCATCTCTGTTGTAGCATGTGACAGGATTTTTTTCTTTTTTTTAACTTAAATTCAGTTAATTAACATATAATGTATTATTTGTTTCAGAGGTAGAGGTCAGTGATTCATCAGTTGTATATAACACCCAGTGCTCATTACATCACGAGCCCTCCTTAATGTCCATCACCCAGTTATCCCATCCCCTCCAGCCCCTCCCCTTCAGTAGCCCTCAGTTTTGTTTCCTATGATTAAGAGTCTCTTATGGTTTGTCTCCCTCTCTGATTTTGTCTTGTTTTATTTTTTTCCTCTCTTCCCATATGATCCTCTGTTCTGTTTCTTAAATTCCACATATCAATGAGATCATTAATTGTCTTTCTCTGATTGACTTATTTCACTTAGCATAATACCCTCTAGTTCCATCCACATTGTTGCAAATGGCAAGATTTCATTTTTTTGATGGCTGAGTACTATTCCATTTGTGTGTGTGTGTGTGTGTGTATACACACACACCACATCTTTTATTTTTGTGGAATCACTTTATTTATTAATGATCATATATCATTTATGTTGGTTGCCATTTAAAAAAAATACAGACCTCCACTGGGGAAAGAGGAACTGATAGGTTGGGAAAGGAAAGTAGAAAAAACTCTGAATATACCACATCTTCTTTATCCATTCATCTGTCATTGGACATCTGGGCTCTTCCCATAGTTTGGCTATAATTGGGCATTGCTGCTATACACTTTGGGGTACAGGTGCCCCTTCGGATCACTACATTTGTATCTTTAGGGTAAATACCCAGGAGTGCAATTGCTGGGTTGTAGGATAGCTCTATTTTCAACTTTTTGAGGAACTTCCACACTGTTTTCCAGAGTGGCACCAGTTTGCATTGCCACCAA